CACAGAAGCCACCTCTATGCCCCCTCCCCCTGCCCCTGCTTACCAAAACCTTGCTGCACAAACCCAATACACAGGAGAATAGAGATTATTAGTTCATGTCTCATTAAGAGCACCAGCAGCTTGTAAATGAAAGAACAAGTGTTTGTGTGGTAAGTCAACATAAAGAGCACTGCTGCCTTCTAGCTGATAATTTGATAAGAGAAAGTATTTTATAATAACTGAATCTTTTAAGGGAGAAGCTCCATCATGGAAAAAATAGCGCAGAGACTAAAGTGCATGGGAAAAATAGACTTGTGATTTACTTTGCTTCCTCTGAAGCTGAAGGATATCTGACAGTTAATAAACTGTGAGAACACAACTGACCTTTGAGAGATGCTTTGCTCTGTAATGTTCTTGTCTGCTTTCCCCAGCCACCTGGATAAGTCAGGTATGAATAACTTTCTTTAAATCTTAAGCAGAGAAAATTAAAATGTAAGGAAATTAAAATGTAGGGAGAAAAATTCTGTACATTTAATAAAAAAATATTCAATTTCCTGCCATAGAGGGTTTTTATTAAAAAGTGTTAAGAAAGTTGAAAATGGGATTTGCAGCTGAGCATACTTTTACTACGTATTTGAGGTTTAAAGAGGATTTAACTCCAAAACAAAAGTTACTTTGGTAAGAGGTATTGTCTTCACCAATTTACAAATGTGATATAAAGGTGCAAATATAATTGAATAGGTTGGCTTATTCAATAAAAATGCTCAAATAAACCCAGCATCTCTTTTCCTGTCTTCTTCTAACACAGTATATATCATCATTAGAAGTCATCACAGGTCTAGAACAACCCCCCTAAAAACCCTTGATGGATCACTGAAATCACTAGAGTCACAGGATGTAGCTACAGATTTATATATAAATATTCATAGAAAATGTTTTAATAGAAATTTCAGCAGTAAAGCCATTAGGAAGAAAACAGTTTCCATGATCAGAATCCTGTTGTTCTACATTAAAACAGAGTGCTAGCATAGGTTATCCTGTTCAAAGGAGGTTCCATATACCTGGGTTTCTCAAAGGAGGTCTACCTTCTCATAGGTCTTTTCAATGAGGGTTAACATGTTCCTCAAGTCAGCTGACTGCTGAATAGTGTTCATATCCTTTAAAAGACCTTTCTGATTTTTTATCTTCAAAATTTCTTCCTAAAGAAGGCAAGAGAGAATACCAACAAATAAAAACCAGCTTTCATTGAGTCCAACAGAAATTTCACTTTCATGCAGCCTAGCTGTACCCAATACAGCTACAATAAAAAGGATAGAGACATGGAATGGGACAGTTTTCCTTCCATCAATTACAGATGGATACATTTCAGAAATGATTAGAGGTTCCCTAGGACCATAGGGTTCCTAGGAAAAGACATGTGATACTTTAAATGGCAGGTTTTCTAGGGTTTTGCTCTGTTTTTAAAAAGTAAGCATTTAGTTCTCAAAGAAAAGGGGGGAAAAAAAAGAACAGTTTCAGAATTTTCAGAACTTCCCCCTCTGGCAGAGGTTAAGGGATAAAAGCACACTTTGTTGCCTTTCTTCTCATAGCCAAGGTGTCTCTGAAAATATATTTCATGCTCACCTGCAAAGTAGGTGCCTGTAAACTCCGCTTGGGGAGATCTGGAAGGTGGAGTGCTCCACTTACATCTTTCTGGAATACCTAGAAGGAGAAAAAAGAAGAAAAAAATAATTCCAAAAATCAAACATCAGGCACACAAGGAGGAAATAAACTGGCTGTCATCATCCAACTTCTTAATTTTGCAGCTGGAGTTGGAAAGATTGAAAAGTTACATTCCCAAAGACAGCTGATCTCTGCAGAAACAGCTTGTATGGGTGAGCTCTGGAAACACCATCTCCTTAGAGGAATGCGCCAACATCTATCAGAAATACCTTCCTGGCCTTTTTTTCATCTTCCTCTAACTGGTTCTTGAGGACCTGGATTTTGTACTGCAGCTGCTGTATAGACTCTTCAATGTGTTCTGCTGTGTCCTCAGCTTCATTTATTTCTTCCTACAACAAAACAGACACAAAACCAGAATAAAATTTACTTTAGAGATGGTGAGCCTCTTGCGTGTGAGATACTGATCATCAGCATCACCTCAGTCACTGAAAAAACATCCAAAAAGACACATTGCTTTGTAGCAAAGGTGGGTGACGATGATGGACAGTGCACACAACAGCAAGGGCAGAGTCAGCAGTCCCTCTACTAAAAAGTTACAAAACACTGAGCAGCAGCAGACAGGGAAGATATTTTCTTCCCTTCCTTGCCTTGCATACCTGCAATTGTACCAAAGACTCTTCATTTGTCTCAAGCGTTTGTTTCTCTGCCATTTGAAGGTTCGGGACATTCTTCAGGTTGCCCAGCTTCCCTGGAGGCACCTTTATCGTCTTGAAAAATCTCAGCACCCTTTATTATAGGAAAAGGAAAGCATGACTTGTTTGGAGTTCTTTGCAAAACAAGAAGAACACTGACTAATGTCTTCTCTGGGGAAAAACTAAACTCAATTTAGCCCAATTGTGGCCAGTGAAGTAAAAGGATCCAGACAGGAAGAAAGGCTGTCGTGAATTGTTTTCCAAAAATCATGTGGAATAGATGTCTAAGAAAGGAACCAAGAAGAAGAAAACACACTGCTCTAACATTTGCTGTTACACCAGTGCTGTGTGGTTTCTATCCCATTTGCCTGTGCAGCCCCTGACATTAACTAGTATTTTCTCAGTTCTGACCTTTCAGCTTTTCAAACTAAAGCTAAGTTCTAAAAAATCAATTTTTAACTGCTTCCACACAAAATCATTGCAGTTAAATCTGTAAATGCTTTTGTGAAATACAAAACATAGTTTTATGCCAGAGGAAGAGTTTTAGTTTGTTCTCAAAGGTTCTTCTGATTCTGAGGAAGACTTGAATTCTTCCGAGTTGGATCTGTCTGTTAAAATACAGATTGAAGTGGACAAGCAAGAGTTAGATACACCAAACTGCTGCAATTTCCATGCATTTCAGATGAGATTGTAGGAGTCTGGCAACTCAGAAATCACACCCAACTTATCACAAATTAAACATTAAAAAAAAAAAAAAAAAGAAAGAAAATAATTTACAAAAAAATAGCTTCTCATGTTTGAATCTTGAGGTACTGTAAGAACAAAGAAAGCAACATATAGGCTCAGGCTTTATGCTGATAAGAGCCTGGTATATCAACATACAAAAACCATATATAATTACTCCCACAATGTCATAAAAAGACTACAAGTTAAGCCCCAACTTTCTTTGAAGTAACTTCAACAGTCAGAAAATGAACTAGCACTTAAGAAGTTTTAGCTATAACTGCTCCTACCACTCCCATAAAATGATAAGAAAATAAATAGCTGCCCACAAATAAAGAGTACAAAGCTGATTCAAGGAGCTCTTAAGAATACCTCCTAGGTTCTGTTACTTGTATAGAAGTAGTTAAAGGGGGTCTTTCAACAACTCTTGCTTGTCCACTTCAATCAATGTACCCCTCAAGATTTTGCATCAACTCTCCCTTCCAAGATTTCCTAAAGGTGATTACTTCCAGAAGCAATTCTACAAGCACGGTACAAAACACCTGGGTAAACTAAATCCTTTCTCTCCCCCCTTTTTTTTTTTAATTAAAATTTCTTACCTTTCTCTCAGTAAATTAAGGTCCTTCTGAACATCATCTTTTCTCTTATTTTGTTGGCACAAAACAGATCTGGAAAGAAAATAAAGGCAGAATTTTCATCACAAAGCCTGGAGCTCATAGAACATATTAAGTGACGTGAACATAATCAGAACTTCTCTAGCTAAAAATTTCCAACTTCAGATAGAAAGTGGTACGTTATACCAGATAAAATATACACAGCCAGTCCTATTGCCCCAAAAAAGCTCCAAAGCTTTTCCAGTTCAAGCAATGTTATGACTTTTACTTTATTCCTTGTGGAAACAAAGAAGAACCACTAGGATATTTGGCACTTACAGTATTACTGAATCCATTACAGTTTCCAGAAATTGCCTGCTGCTCTCTGAAAGACTCTGCCAAGATCCTATTTTAGCACTGGTTAGCTTCACCTTTTTTGAAGAACCTTTTTCTCCTGTTATCACAAAAGAAGAAAGGAAAATGATTTGTATGATTTGTCAAATCTGGATAAAGAGGTTTGTGACTCAATTCAGTCACATCATAGTCAAAGATGTAACAGTTAATATTTTGCCTTGCCAGAAAAATAGTGGGTCAAATCTATCCACATTAGGTGGTACTTACTATTTGCAAGTCACAAGTTGTTTGAAAAGCAAGAAATAGAAAAGGTGGAATTTTACAAGAGAATATTACTTGCAAACAAAAGTATATGATTAATATGTGCATATACAACACATATATATTATGAATGCACACTGGCTAAGACTATACTGCAAATACTTGCTGTTATTATTCAGAAAGAAAACTTTTAAACTTCTCCTCTCCCTCTACTCTGCCCTGGTGAGGCCACATCTGGAATATTGTGTCCAGTTCTGGGCCCCACAGTTCAGGAAGGACAGGGAACTGCTTGAGAGAGTCCAGCACAGAGCCACCAAGATGATGAAGGGAGTGGAGCATCTCCCTGCTGAGGAAAGGCTGAGGGAGCTGGGGCTCTTTAGCTTGGAGAAGAGGAGACTGAGGGGTGACCTAATTAATGTTTAAAAATATATTAAGGGCAAATGTCAGGAGGATGGAGCCAGGCTCTTCTCAGTGATGCCCAATGGTAGGACAAGGGGCAATGGGTGTGAGCTGGAACACAGGAGGTTCCACTTAAACTTCAGAAGAAACTTCTTTACAGTGAGGGTGACAGAGCCCTGGAACAGGCTGCCCAGGGAGGTTGTGGAGTCTCCTTCTCTGGAGACATTCAAAACCCGCCTGGACACCTTCCTGTGTGATCTCATTTAGGTTCCTGCTCCGGCACGGGGATTGGACTGGATGATCTTTCGAGGTCCCTTCCAATCCCCAACATTCTGTGATTCTGTGATTTCAGCAACATCTAAGGCATCTACAGTTTCAGCATAGCAGCTCCTACTTTTACTTTAGTGTTTTTTCAAAACACTGAATTATAAAGGAAAGAATACAAACCTACCTGCAGGGGAATAGTCCTCATGTTCTTTGGCTTTCCTTTTGACTGGCTGAGTAACCTGCAGATGAGAAAAATTTACAGGAAATGTGGAAATTTGGAAGCATCCTCTGCTTTGAGGAACCTCTGAACCATTCATCTATTACTAGCAACCCACAACAAAAAGGCTACGAAAGTGTGTCAGTGCTTGACAGAGGTCTGTTGACACTGACCACAAAAAAGGCTTTTTGAACCATGAAACAGTAATTAATCTCAAGTGGGTTAAGGAAAAGAATTCACTAGTCTTAATTCCTCCCATTCCCAGACTGAGGTCATGAAATAAGAAATGCACAAGATGTTTGGCAATCCAGCCACATTTTGAGATCACACCATTCATAAATTGGGTGGTTAAGTAAGCTCTCTCCAACAGAAAGCTGCCTAGGCCAACCCTGAGACATGCAGGGAATATTTTCCAGAACTAAATACATTTTACCTGAGCTGAATGAACTCTGAATTTATCACTCTGTTCAAACAGATGCTGTGTAGCTCTTCAAAACTGCACAGCCAGTTTGTCCTTTTATTAATGATCAGGCAATGTTTCCCTCTACTTGTCACAGGCACAGTAGCATGCAAGTAGAAATTCTGGAAACCATGGAGCAGTTAAAGCAGTGGGTCTCAAAAGAGCTGTTCACACTGGACATTTCTTCAAGAGGACGACGTTTAGTTAATTAAATATTATCTATAAATTCCAGTAAATAAACTGGGCAAAATGCCTCTCCCTCCAACCCCCCCTTTTGTTACATTTCTAATTTGTTTGATTCAAAAATAATGATTACCTTTGGTTTTTGAGCTTGTTTCCTTCCTTCTCCATCTGTTCCCTTCTTTATGCTGGAAGGTCCTTGTTGATTTTGTGATTTAAATGATTTTTTTGCTGATTTTCTACCAGCAGTCTCCCCCATTTTGCTGGAAGATGCGTGATAGTGTTTCATTACCTGTAAACCAAACAGAACAGAAAGAAATAAAACCCAAATTAAAATCCAGCAGTTACAATCCATACAGTGCAAACCACACATTAACAAGCAAAATGATGGAAATACCCAGTGCCAAATGGACTCAAATGTTTGCATGTTTTCTAACCCAAAGCCTAAATCTTGCATATTTATCTACGTGCAGGACCACTAAAAACAGTCCAATTTGTTCTGAAAGGCCTCCAAGAATAGAAATTCTTTATCTGTCAAATGCAGTTCAGTGCAATCATCCTATTAATGAACATCCTATTAATGCAGCCATCCTATTAGCAGAACTTTTTAACCCAGCACTATAACCATAATGTTCACTGCTGCAGTTTAAACCTATAGTTTATTTTCTTACTCACTGTAGAGATGGAGGGAAAAAGAAGTCACACAGCAGAGAGTAATCATTACACCCCACCAGCCTTCTCTTTTCTGAAAACAACTCAGATGTATTCAGTTTTCTTTTCACAGAATCATAGAATGGTTTGGGTTGGAAAAGACCTTAAAGATCATCCAGTTCCAACCCCAATGCTGTGGACAGGGTTGCCAACTACTAGATCAGGCTGCCCAGGGCCCCATCCAGCCTGGCCTTGAACACTTCCAGGGAGAAACATCCACAGCTTCTCTGGGCAACCTGGGCCAGTGTCTCACCACCCTCTGGAGAAAAACTTCCTCCTAATATCCAACCTAAATCTCCCCTCTCTTAGTTTAAAGCCATTTCCCCTTGTTCTGTCACTACCTGCCCATGTAAAAAGTCACTCTCCCTCCTCTTTAGAAGCTCCCTCCAAGTACTGGAAGGTTGCAACGAGGTCTCCCCAGAGCCTGCCCAGGTAACTAGTGATAGGACAAGAGGCAATGGCCTTAAGTTACACCAGGGGAGGTACAGATTGGATGTCAGGAAACACTTGTTCACTGAAAGGGTTCTCAGGCACTGGAACGGGCTGCCTAGGGAAGTGGTTGAGTCACCATCCCTGGAGATGTTTAAAAGACGTGATTGAGTGCTTGGAGATATGGTTTATTGGTGAACAGGTACAGTTGGTACCTGTCTCAGAGGCACCTGATCTCAGTTGGTACCTGATCTCAGAGGTCTTTTCCAACAAGGAGATTCTGTGATTCTCTTCTCCGAGCTAAACAAGCCCAGCTCCCTCAACCTTTCTTCATAAGAGAGATGCTCCAGCCCTCTGATCATCTTCCAGCTTTCTTGTGCTGGGGGCTCCAGGCCTGGATGCAATACTCCAGACGGGCCCTCACAAGGGCAGAGTAGATGGGGACAATCCCCTCCCTCACCCTGCTGCCCACCCCTCTTTTGATGCAGCCCAGGATACAGTTGGCCCTCTGGGCTGCAGTTGCTCACTGCTGGTTCATGTCACAGAATCACAGAATGGTGGGGTTG